CATCTGCTTCGCCCTGATTGTGCATAAATTGAGTTGCTGGCCCCGTCTATTTAAGGCCATGGCGCTTGTTTGGTCGGCGATCACTTCAGCTGCATATGAATATGCGTCTATATGGAGTCTATGGAGCTCCCCTTCCCTCCCCTCATGCATCTCGGCATCTCTATTGGCATTGTATGTGTGTAGCTTCGATATTTCGAGTCTGTGCTGCTGCCGCCTTCTGAAAACTAACGAAAATGTGAAAATGAAATAAAAATGTAGACATTTTGTAGCCAGTTTATAGAGAGAGTGAGAGAGGCAGGGCGCGAGGGATAGAGAGATGAGATGATGGCCAGTCGCTTTGGGCCGAGGCCTGTTTGGGCCATAATTTGTTGTTTTGCAAACGGTCGCATAACTCGCCAGAGTCAGGTCCCGGTTCCTGTGCCTGCTCCTCCTTCTGCTGCTGGCCCTGCTGCACCACTCCACCCCCCTCCCCCACGCCCCGTTCGACCGCCTTGCCCCTTTCCCAGCATTCTTCCGGCCTGGCCGGGGCTTATCTATCGCTAGCCGTCGATGTAGTCCCACGGTCTCTGCTCGGTCTATGGCAACGCGCACTCGCATTCGCACTCATTCGCATGGTGCCAAATGAATTTCACATGTTTTCTTCCGACTCCTCCTCGTCAATGCGCTGCTCGCTGCATCTTCTTCTTCTCCGGCTTGTTTGTTGTGTGTGTGTGTGTGTGTGCCTTTCCATTCGCACTTTTCTTTTTGCATGTGTTTTGCACTCGCTCGCTGCTTTGGCATTTAATTAAAAAGCCAGCAAAATTATGAACTTTTCTTTCTCGACCGCCTGCAAATTTGTTTGTTTTCGCCACGAAAGTCGTATATCAAAAAATTGCCTGCCAGATGCGAAATGTGAGTTGTTTTTTTTGTTGTTTCTTTGTTTTTTGGCTATGGGCGGAGTAGTTGGCTGTTTTTGGGGGCTTGTCTGGCTAGCGGAAGGGGGCGGCAAATGCCACAAAATGCAAAATGTAAAATCTTTCGCCAATGATCTGTCGAACTTTTCGCTCAACCCCGGCAATAACTTTTCTTTTCTTCAGCTGGCTTGTTTTTTTTTTCCTTTTCAACTCTTTTTTTTTTTTTTTTTTGGATGCCATTCAATTGAATGCATCGATGAGTGGTTGCTTGACTGTATGGATGAATAATGGGGCAATGTGTGCCTCGCTCTGCTCTGCTGTAGTGTGGAGTGCTTCGAAAAGTTTGGCTACGAGTCGGCGCGTTGAAAATCAAATGAGCTGTAAAGAAAATTTCGCGTTAAAATGCGTTTTATTGTTTCCAATTAGGCTGATTGAGTGCCTCGATTTATATATATACATATATACAGAGAGGGACAGAGAGAGAGAGAGAGAGAGAGAGGGGCACGAGATGTGTGCCATATTAAAAGCCACAGCGTGTTTTAATGTAGTCTATAGTGCTCGACATGCTTCGCTTAATCCCAACCCAACCCAGAAAAAAATAAAACCACACACACACAATTTATACGCTACTTTAGCTAATCATCGAGAGCGTCACATAATTTCATTCCATTTCGCCTTTTCGACTATTTGGCTTTTATTTTCCAATTGTCTTTTCATTGGAATTTCTGAGTGTATGCGTGTGTGTGTGTGTGTGTGTGTGCATCATCAACTAAACATTCAGCTGCTTAGCTCATCAGTCCAGCCCCTCCGCCTCCTGCCCACTGACTTTTTGGTATTTATGTGGCAGCAGCTCAACTTGGCTTACTGCTGCTGCTCGCAAAATCAGCTCATTTACAATGCGTGTCTCAATGCCAATAACTGTGCCCCAAATATGCTGCACACACACATATATATATATATACATACATACATCGCAGTCTCATCGATGCTCGAATGCCTTGCAAAGCAGCTAAAAAAGAAAACTTTATTTATTATTTCTGTATATAAAAAACGCTTTCCAAGTATTTTATTAGGTTTTAATTGATTTGGTTGGGTTATTATTATTATTATTATTTTTATTTATTTCTAGCTCAACTATTTTTTTTTATGCTTTTAAATAGTAGTTGGCTTTGAAATTCTTGAAAGAATAATATTAGGTACAATTTTTGTTTTAAATAATAAAACCAAATTTTTAAGAAATGCATAATAAAGCATTTTGCTTTCAAATTTTTGAACAAATTTATATTATTTATGGGAAATTCTTGTTTACCATAAATTCTTAATTATGTAAAGTCTGTATTATTTAGAGATGGAAAAAGCTTCAAATATAATAATATATAAAAATCAAATAAAAACAGATTTTTTTTTTTTTTTTTTTTTTTTTTTAATAATATATATATATTTATTTATTATATATAATATAATTTTAAAAATAAATTTTAAACAAAGAAATTCTTTTCTTCTTGACTTCTTTACACTTTGTTATAATTTCTCCAGCATCTTGTTGCAACTTTCACATTTTCTTTCGAAATGATATAACTTGGGTAAGCTCTCGATGCGATTCATTTGGCGGTGAACTCGTTTGCCTGCCTTCTCAGATAGCTGATATAACAGCTTGGCCGAGTGTCGAGTCGAAAATAAAAATGCATTTTAGTTTGTGAAACGATGAGGAGGGGAATCAGACGGATAGAGGGAGAGAGGGTGAGAGAGAGGGCAGCATCATTGACGAATGACTGCCATGCAAGAAAGACCGAGCGAGAGTGGTGAAGGAGGAGGTAGAAGAGGGCGAAGGCGGAAGATTTCGATATATGTTATGCGCCTCGGTAGCAAGGATAAAGTCAACGCTGAGGCATTGCCTGCCGCATTGTCCATTGTTGTTATTTGCCAAATAAGTGAACCGGCCGCCCGCGCTCAGCCACGCCCTACCCCTCCCCCTGCCGCCAGCCGCCTCCTGCTGGCACACTGCCGGACTGCGGACTGCGTCTCCATTGTTGTCAGCTTCGTCGATGATGCAGACGTAAGATATGAAAAATATGAAGCAACAGCCATCACAATAGTCGCACCAGCCGTAAGCCAGAGTCACAGACAGAGCCGTAGCTGGGGAACTGGGGAGCTGGGGAGCTGGAGCTGGAGATGGAGCTGAGGCTGAAGCTGTGGCTGTAGCTGTAGCTGGAGTCGGAGTGGAGGGGCAAGAGACATATTTTGTGTTGTTCTCCAGCTGGCAGAGCTGCTCCAGCTGCTACGCCTCCTCCTACTCCTCGTCCTCCGCCATCTCCTCATCACAAAGCAGGCGCTCATGCGTGTGCAAGTCAAAGTCGAACTGCGTGGGCAACAGACCCATACGTAACCATGCTAGAGATAAAGCTCTGTCGATGCTCGTATATATATATGAATATATATATATATATATATAAACACATATATATGAGTTGGGTCTGGTATAAATCACGCTTAATGCCTTGGCTGCTGGAGCTGTGTAGCACGCTGTGGCACATAAATTGCAGTCAAGTGCTGCCAATTAGTTGGCTAAAATTATTTTATGATATTGGCCAACTAATTAAACCGGCATTACGCTGACTGACGCTGACGCTTAAGGTTTAGTCCGGCCAGACACACACCACACAGACACACACACACACACACACACACACTCACTCGGACCTGGGTCAGCTCGGCAATGAAATCGATAAAAAGTCGCAGCAGCACCGTCAAGGTACAGGTGGCTCCCGCACTCCACCTCCTCCGCCCGCCCTTCGCATTGTAGTTTGCTTGCAGTTTCATCAATCAACCACACACAGCCAAACCAACAATCAATCATATCCAAACGGTAGAGGGGCGACAGCGGCAGGGGGCGTGGCTGTAGCTCAGTAGCACGGATAAGTAAAGCACGTAAAAAATATCTTTGATTATTAATTATTTATGAAATGTGCGAGGCGAGAAGCGACTGCCATTAAATGATTAGGTTTGAGTTGAGTTGGGGCTGGGGCCGGAACAGGGGCTGGGGCTGGGGCTGGTAGGGACTCAGACATACTAAAGAGCTTAAGCGAACGATACAATCTTAAAGATGAATAAATGAATATACATTCATAAGCGTTTAAAAGAGAAAAACACTCAACTTAAAGATGAAGCAATGTCTTTATGAAAGTAATATTTATGAAACTTGGGAATGTTACCAATATAACTTGAGTAAAAGATTTCTTTTACCACTGAAACCCCACAAGCTTTGAATATAGAATTATGAAATTAAATTAATAAAAATTATAAATTATTTTATGTTATAAAGTTTTATACCAAAATAAATATTAATTAATAAGCTCAAATTATATTATACAAAAAAAAAAAAAAAAAAAAAATTATATATATGCATATACATTATATTATATGAATTATTTCATTATATATAAATTAAATGTTTCATCCAAGCCTATTAGATTTGGTCATAAAATCTCTACTAGCCTGCAGCGAGGCTTACATCTGTTGTATCTTATTAATTCTTAATATTATACGATTTTAAAGATTAAAATGTAGGGCTGTTCGTTTCTCCCGTCAGTTCGCCTTCAGGCTGTCTGTTCGCTTCCTCATCTGTCTGTCTGTTCGTTCGTCTGCCCTTCTGTCTAGCCGCCCGTGCGCTGTCCGTCCGCCTGTCCGTTTTTCCTTGCGTTCATACGTCCTCCCATCCATTCGTCCGTTCATATGTCCACCCATCTATTCGTCCATCTGTATGTCCGTTTTTGCGCTTATTCGTCTTTCTGTTCTAGGACATAAGAGATTAAAGACTAAAATAAAAATTTTGACTAGGAAGTCCCACAGTACTTCGCGTGAAATTAGAGCTTTATTTATTAATCGATAACTTCTCTGCAGTAAATCGATTAAACTCATTCAATCATTAGCGTATCAATCGTAGCAAAAAAAAAAACCTTATTTCCTAATAAAGTACCCAAGAGCCCTTTCGACGAGAGCACCCTTACTTATTTGATAGTACTGATGATAATATATAAGTAATATTGCTATACTTTAAGTTCCCCCTACTTTACCTCAACTGACCGTCTGATCTCTTTGTGCTTTCAGTGTGCCAGTGCAATGGACATGCTCGCCGCTGTCGCTTCAACCTGGAGCTGTACAAGTTGTCCGGCCGCGTGTCTGGCGGCGTTTGCTATAATTGTCAGCATGATACGACCGGAAGGTATTGTCACTATTGTCGCGAGGGCTACTACCGGGATGCCACCAAGCCACCCAATCATCGCAAAGTGTGCAAACGTAAGTAGCAGCTGTTTTGGCCATCAATCAGGGGCCTAGTTAACTGTCACACAGCACAGATGTCTCTCTCTAATGATGACTCTCCCTCTCTCCTCTCTCCGCTCTCTTCTGTTTGTGTCTCTCTTTTGCTCTATCTCTTTTAGGCTGTGACTGTCATCCCGTGGGCTCCACCGGCAAGACGTGCAATCATCTGAGTGGTCAGTGTCCCTGCAAGGAGGGCGTCACTGGCCTCACTTGCAATCGCTGTGCACGGGGCTATCAGCAGACGCGCTCTCATGTGGCGCCCTGCATAAGTAAGTATCTAGTTCTCACTATCCCCCTCCCTCTCTCTATGTGTGGCCTTGTTATTAATGTTTCTCTGCTGCGTATTAACAGAGGTGCCCACAAATGCGAATATGATTCAAGCCGAAAGCGCTGGCGGCGGCAGTGGAACTGGCGACTACAAAGATGGCGGAGGCTCTCAGGCTGAGGAAATGAAAAAGTGTAAGTGTTGTAGTGAAATGAGTGGAGAGTAATAAGTTGAGATATGTAAACTGATAGATAGAACAGAGTAACATTTGACAAGCGACGTCTTGTAGACTTTTGTAAAGAGTGAAGAAAGATCTGCAGCAGAAATCTCTCGTGGAGAGTTGTGAATATTTGGAGAGTGGTATGATATTTGTTATGAACAAAGAGAAAGAGTTAATCGTGGAGAGTTCTGAGTGTAGAGTGGAGAGTTCCAAGTTAGGGCTACTCTGTTGAAATACTTAATTGATGTATGACCAAATAAATAGATATAAAGGATTTGTGCAGAATTACTTGTGGAGATCTCAGAGTATACAGTGGAGAGTTGCAATTATAAAATTATTGGAGTTATTGAGCTGTAAATCGCATAATTGGCGAATGGGGCATCGAATGACGAGGAGTTGGACAATAGCTTGTGGAGAGTTGGAAGAAAAATGTTGTGGAGAGTTGTTGCATACATACACACATAAGAACAGAGTTTCTTATAATTTTACAGTAATGTCCTGTTACTCGTGACTCGTGGAGAGTTACAATTAGAACATAGCTATTGGGTTACTAATAAACGATTAAATAGAGATTCTGGACAGTTGCTCGGGGAGAGTTATCAGTGTATGGTGGAGAGCTACAAGTAGAGCTTTGCTATTGGGATATTAATTAACGATAAATTAGATTCTATGGATACTTGAGAGAAGATTACGAGAAAGCTTACAGTTTTGGAGAGTTTTTAGAAATCAAGCGTAGCGACTAATAACTAATAAGATTCCATTTACAAAATGAATAAATACTTATATAATAAACTCTCCACACCCACACCCACACATACATATAGATTGTGGCAAGTGCAAGGCCAGCCCCAAGAAGCTGAATCTGAACAAGTTTTGCATGGAGGACTATGGTACGTATACGCAATGCGCGCTCTATAGGCCACTCTATAGGCTCACACACTCAACTCGATTGCAGCTCTGTTGGCCAAGGTAATTGGACATGATCGCGCCTCCCAGGACATCAGCACCGAGAAGTTCTCAATCGAGCGACAGAACGAGATTTACAAGTACGAGATCAACATACAGACGATCTTCAAGCGTAACCCCATGTCGGGCACAACCAGTTCCCTGCTGGGACGTGGCAATATGATGCTGCTGGTGCCGCGCAAGAGTATCGAGTGCCAGTGCCCCAAGATCAAGTTGAACAAGTGAGTAGCTCTCGAATCCGAACTAAATATAATTTATGTGCTTGTTGCTTGTTATATCGTGATATCAATGATTCTATTTTTTCGTCTTGAACTCTTTGCAGATCGTATCTAATACTTGGACGTGACTCGGAGGCAGCGCCGGGCTATCTGGCAATCGGACCCAGTTCCGTGGTGTTGGAGTGGAAGGACGAGTGGTCGTTGCGCATGAAGCGCTTCCAGCGGCGCGCCCGCAAATGCAGTTGAATCGAACCGGAAACGGAATATGTCAGAGCGGATTTCAATTTCATACACTTGGCTAGGTATCGGTTTTTGTATAAATTGTACAGTTTACTCAAGTTTCTGACCTTTTTCGGCATCATGTTTTAATTAATCCCCCTCTCTTCACATACACCCCACACACACACACACACACACACACACACACACACACACACACACACACACACACACACACACACACACACACACACACACATTAACACAAAATACACTATCCACATGATACGTATTATAGACAAAAAGCGGAGTCTTCCCATCATGCATATATCTATCAGAAAAAAAAAACTTAAAAAAAAAAATAACAAAAAAAAAAAAAAAACAACATCTGAAATCCTCTAGTTAAGCTACTCAGCGGCATTCTAGTCTACAGACACTTGAACACTGCGAAACACTAGGCAAAAGCAAACAACAACAATAACAACTCCTACACCAACAACAACAAACATGCCAAATGCTAATTACAATCTAAAGGGCGTGTGCGTGTGCGTGTGTCAAGCACATTTATGAGGGCCATAAAATAACAGTTATAAATTTGTAATAAGTGCGAAAAGCGTAGCATATCGCTTGCTGTGTGCGGTGCGTGGAAGGAGTGGGGAGCATGCAAGCCCATTGGCTGGGCAGGCGCGAAGAGGCGCTGAAGTAATGGGCAGAGCGAGAGAGTGAGAGCGAACAGAGAGCCGGGGCAGGCAAGCAGGCAGGCAGAGTCATAGGCTCTCGCATAGAAGTGCAGCATGCGCTAGGGGTATTCAAGAGAAATGCGCATACGAATTTTCTGGTCGCTTCTGTTGCCTGTCTGCCATTTACACTGTCTATGATTTTTTCTGTCGCTCATACGCTGACTATCCCTCTGGTCAGTTGCAGGGCTGATATATATATATATATATATATTTTTTTTTTACACTGCTCTGCATATCGCATTCATCACAGTTTTTTCGTTTGCCTCGATTTATATTTTCGATATATTTGCCGTTTGATATTTTTTGTTTTGAGTATTTTGGTTTTTATCTCCGGCAGTTTTTCGGTTTTACTGTTTGCATTTAACGGCAGTTTTATTGTTATTATTTTTCGTATTTCTTTTTTTTTATGAATCCGCTCGATCTGTATTTTTAAAATGTATGCAAACAGTTTTGCTGTTAATTATGCAGATCCATTCGCATCCATTTGTTAGTTGATTTTCACGCGCTTTTGCATAACAATTTGTTCAAGTGAAGAAAAAACCCCATAATAATAATAATAATAATACAAATAATAATAAACAAACAGGCGGACAGCAGCAGCGGCGGCAGTAAAATTAATTTAAAATGCATTTATTTGAATTCAATTTTCAATTTGAATTATGCATGTAAATCAGTTAGCATTCACATAAAAAGCGCGGAGAAAAAACTTTGAATGCTTGTCAAAGGTGGCAGGGGCGTGGCGAAGGGCGTTCAGTTCAAGTTGCAACCGGCTTTTATTTTTTTGGAAACATTTTCTTTAGGGCCTTCGTTTTTCAGACAATCTCCAATCACGTTAAAACTGCGGTGCACGCCAGACAGTGCTCACTGTAGCCAACTTGCGCTTATTCCAACAAACTTGACAGACAGACAGGCAGACAAACAGACAAACAACAACACGAAACACGTTACACAAATTAAAAAAAAAAAAAAAAAAAAAAAAGAATGCAACTTCGTAGGCTGAACAGTGATATGTAGCCCCTCTATCTATCGCACTCGCTCCTCATGTCCCTGGCCCTGCCACTGCCACTGTCTTCGTCCCTGTCCCTGTCCCTCCACCAGGCTTTGTCTCTGGCTCTGCCGCTCTCCCTTTCCCTCTCGCTGTGCCCCTTTGCTTGCATTTACACAGTTACATTTATTGTGTTTTTGTTGTCGTTTTTGTTTTTTTTTTTTGTTTTTTGGTATTCTCTTTCATTTGAGTGGGGCCGCGGATTAAACATGTTACAGCTCAAAATGTAACATGATATATGACAGCAAGTGTCGAACTTGATAAATGCTTTAATGAATTTATTTTCGTGTTCTGCACAAGCGACCTGTGTATCAGCCCCTCTCGCTCTCGCTCACGCTCTCACTCTTTGTGCTCCATACTTTGTTCTGCCTGCGTGTTTCGCTGTGGGCATTTGTCATTGGCCCATTGCAACAGTCGGCGACCGTGACCATGATATATGTATGTATTATAAGTCCAAGCGGAGCAGCCCACCAACCGGACATGTTGATCAGCTGAGTTGGACAGCTGCATAGTAGTTAACATGGCGCGGCTCTTAAGCTGAGATTTGTGTGTGCCGTCCGGGCCGCATAATTAGCCAAGCGGCATAGCTCGGAAAACAATGCACAAGCACACGCACGCACACGCACGCACACACACACACACACAAAACATGCACACTCTCTCTCTATCACTCACTCACACAATGTGAAGTGTCCTGCAGCAAGTTAAAGGCAAAACAACAACGAAACAAATATTTTTTTAAAGTAGAAGAGAGCGAGAGAGAGCGAGAGAGAGAGAGAGAGAGAAATTAAATTGCGGCTTGGACGCGACTGCGGCTTGGGCTTCATGCATATTTAAATGAGATTTTTGCGTTAACTGAATTTTGTCAACATGACGTGCGCTGAATGAAGTGCGGACGGGGCGGCAGAGGGCGTGGCCAGCCAATGTGGGAGCACGCTGCAGCCATGAGAAGCCATATTAATTTATATATGTATATATGTACATGCACACACACAAAGCATGTATGTATGTGTGTATGTGTGCGCGCATTTATATATATTTAAATAAATTGGATTTTTCTGCGCGATTATTTTTTTTCGCTTTTTTTTCTTACTTCATTTAACAGGCTGTTGGCTGGGGCGTTGCGGGGGCGTGGCATATGTATTTTAAATAACTTGCCTGGCGCCATTAGCATATAAATTGATGTGCGCCAGGCCCATTCACACATACACACACACGCACATATCAAGCATTTGGCAAAGCACACACAAACACACACACACACATATTCACACATATCTAAGATTTCTGTGCCCTAAAAGCTGACAAATTGACTTCCGTTTCCGCGTTAAAAAATCAACAACAAAAGCACACAAAAGAGCTAAACAAAAAAATGAAAAACGTAATGAAAAGAAAATTAAAAAAAAAAAAAATTAAAAAAAAAATATCTCTTTTAAAAAAGTACTTAAAAAAACTGAGACACAAAACATAACCAAATTAGTCATTAGTTGATACGTCGAGCCGTTTATTTATTTCCTTAACAATTATATATATATAAACATAATATATATATATATATCAACTTTTTTTTTTTAACTTAACATAAACTTAAATTATGAATTCAAAAAGAGAAAAAGCCAAGCGAAAACTTTAAATTCTGTTGGCATTTCACTGTATTTCGAAATATTATTATTATTATATATATATATATATATATATATATATATATAAACATAAATAAATAAAAGTACTTATACAAGCACATACATATATAGATATACTATATATACATATATAAATGCTTGATGTATTTTGTGTATATTGAGCATAAATAAATTGCAGAGCAAAACGAAAAATAAAAAGAAGAAGAAGAACATGTAGAAGATGTTTGTGACATGCTTTTTTTGTAGGTTGAATGCAACAACAACAACAATACTAACTTTACATATCCTACACACACACACACATACACATACATACACCATTGTCAAGTTATATAGAATTAATATATATACATATAAATATAAACCGATTTTTTTTTTAAATTTTTTTTTAAGCAACCATTTTATCACTAAAAATATATAAATATATATATATATTATCTTTGTGTGTGTCGCAAGTTAATAAACAAAAATATTAAATAATATATACAAACGAAATAAAAAGAATGCAAGCAATTTTATATATAAAATAATATATATAAAATAATAATAATAAACACTATTTAAATGCATATATACGAGTTCACAACACATACAAATATATATATACAGTATATATATGTATGTATATGCTATATATGAGCATGAAGAAAAAAAAAACGGCGACAATTTTTTTTTTTTTCTTAGATCTTTGTAAATACTCAAAAAACAAACAAAAAAGCCATGAAAGAAAAAAAAAAAAAAAAACACATAAAATAAACAGCGAACCGTAATCAACAATATTTATTGCTAAATTATTATGTTGTAATGAAATACATATGATACAAAATAAAACACAAAAACAAAAATCAATTATATGGAAATAAATTTAATATGATTGAAAGATAATCAAACTGACAGCAAACCAAAAACCAATATACTCTTATTTCCTTTGGGAACAGAGTATATTGAGCATGGTCGGATATTAAGGTATTGTAGTTGATATTTACTTAAGCACAATCACACATCCACACACACACACACACACACACACTAAGGAAAATCTAAAAAGAAAAAATAATTGGACAAAAGACAAGCCAACACCTATACACACAGCCGTGTGTGTGTCTGTGTGCGTGTGTGTGTGTGTGTGCTTACAGGTAAAATGTATCATTCAACTTTTATGTGTGTACTTTAAAAGAATTCAATATATTAAATACAAAAAAAACAAAAACAAAACCGAGCAAAATAAACAGAGAAACACAAAAAGCAAAAGGCAAACACACACACGAAAAAAAAATCAAGACACAAAAATTTAATCGATTTAAGTGGACAAATTGCTAATATATATTACGAAATTCAATGGGTGAGAAATGTGATTTTTATTTCGGGCTTTGTCAATTTTCAGGTGATTACAGGTAAAGTATGGGCTCAGTGGGACTTACCATCTTCATATTATATTGACTATAGAATATTTAAAATGAAATAAAAATATATTTTAAAGTATATAAAGTTAAGTGAATTTCTTTTTACCTAATAGGTAATAATAGGTGATACCTAAAAATAAATAGAGCAGCATTTGACCTTGACTGTGGGATTGATGGAGAGTATTACTTTGCTTGTGCTCGCTCTCTCTCTCTCTCTCTCTCTTTCACTCTTTCTGTGCTTTGAAAAGGTATTGTTGAACTGAAATAAAAAAGGAACGGCTGCATTTCTATTAAAAAATCCTAGAGATAAATATTTATATAATAACAGGAGATTATTTGATGGTAATACAGTCAAGTCTCAATACCGCTAATCAATATGAATCAAAAAAATTATATCCATTTGAAAAAAGTTCGTTCTCGATAATTCTCGATAATTTTAATTTATGTGTAAATCGAAAAAAAAAAAAAATTCCTCTGCCATTTGGAATTATCGAGACTCGACGGTACTACATTCTTTTGCTATATTTCAAGCTCATATTGGCTTCTAAAAATATATGTAGTATAAGCTTGTATTTAAAAATGCTTCAAATTTGATCATGCATCAACTTGAGCTGCTAGATATGAAGCCCTTCTTACTGCTGGGACAATTAGTTACATCGCTGTTAAGTCTAAGTACGAATACTATATCCAACAGGCGGCTAAAAATTGCCTAGACAGATTCTGAACCAAATGGCCTGGTCAAGCGACTTGGAACTGCAGCTCAAAGCTCTGCCAGCCCCCGCAACGGTACTGGGAGAATAATTAACCATCATCCTCAAAATCTGATGAGTCGAAAATTTATTAAAATTCCCATTGGCTTCACCTTAACTTACTGCACTGCTCAATTTTCTTCCTCTAATATATGTATGCTATTATACAAATTATAATTTATCTTATTTTCTTTTTTAATTACAAAAAATTAGAATCGTTTATTTTTTTTTTAATATTTCATTAACAAATCAAAAAAAAAAAAAAAAAGAAAACAATCTTTCGCAGCTTCAGACGATGATTGTTATGAATATGTGAAAAATGTGCTATACATTCTTCAAATATTCATATTCATTCATGTTCATTCATATTCATAGCAGCAGCGAATAAATCTCATCAAAATAAATGCGGCCTCAACACTCGATGTTCGTATGCCTATTCCATGTATGACTATTCTAATTTTTCTGTAATGCTGGAAGCTTCAGCTTACAGCTTTAACATCTTTTAAACTAAATTCTTAAATAGCTGTAAGATTTGTTATGCCAAACAAAATGGCATAGAACTTACTTCCAAATAAAAATAAAAAATAGAAATAAAAAAAAAAAAAAAAAAATAAAATAAAAAATAAAACATCTTAATATCTCAACTAACTATATATTAATTGCAATCTTTCCATCGGCTGCTCTTATTTGATCACCCTCAGCCAGCAGATCTGCCGCGAATCCAGCTATAGCTATTTCAAAATTTCAACAAAGATCTGTGAATATACCCAAAACGGTAAATCAGTAAATGCCATTGAGCATATGCTTTTTCAGCTGCCTTCAGTTCTGATTCACTTCTAGCCCTCCTCAGCTGATTCCACAAAAAAAACGTTGCATACTTTCGAGCAGCGTGCAGTGAATTGTGAATCGGGGCACACACAGCAAATGCGATATAAAAGCCAAATTAATTTAGAGCGCAATTTAAGTAACATGCGCGAACACTGCACCACCCTGCCCAGAACCCACCGGGACGTCGCTTAACGTTTGATATTGCCGCTGGCTTTCGTTCTGGCCAAGGGCTCCGTGCCATTCCCGGCAACTGAAACTAATACGCATATTTATCAAATTTCAGCGCCTCAAGGGTTGCTGCTGCTGTTGCTGCTGCACTCGGAACGAGTCGGCAACCCCCGCTCGCTGACACGCGCCCAAGTGTAGATTCATTGTAGTTGCCCAAAATGCCTTGCAGCGCCAGCAAAGTTCCAGCAGACGCAGACGCAGACGTAGACGTAGACGCCGACGCAGCCGGCAGACCGCAATGCAAAGTTTTGGCCCTCGGCAAAAACTTAACAAAAAGCGGCAACCACTTGGCTTGGGTGGTTGGCTGCTCAATAGGCAGACTCCACGGACTCCACGAACTCCCCGGATTTCCCAAACTCTCTCCGGTTTCTCCAGCTTCTGCGGACCTCCCGGACGTTGCCGTGGCAATGCTGCATAAACAAGGACAAAGCTATTTTGCTGCTGGCAGCTCCATTTGCACGCTTCATAAGCGAGACGAATGAATTTTAATTTGATTAAAGTGAAAAATTGAAAAATTGAAAAATGGAAAAAGGTAAATCCCTGCCACGCCCACGGCCCACGGCCCCGCTTCCCGCTCCCCGCTAAGCTTTTAGCTGTATTAAATGCTGCAGCAAAGCTGCGTCAAAGAGTAGCGCATTTAGATACGCCACCAAAATGGGACAAGCGAGTCCGAGTGGCGCAGCACGGTATACGGCGGATTAGCTGGCCAATCAGGCGGCGACCATGCGGCCTGGATTTGCGGCACACATGAAAATCCAGCTTTGGTCGACTCAACTCACACTCCGCTCCGCCCATTGCCGCGCCGTGGGTTGCCATGGCTAGAAATGCCAGTGGAAATATTTCCGGACGGATTGGCGTATCCGTTGCCATAGCAGCTTAGGCCGCATTAAAACCTTTTTGCTTCAATAATGTTGTTTTTGTTATGCTTAGATGGCGACCGCAGCCGCAGCCGCAGCAGCAGCAGCCGCCTGTCCAAACCACTTTGGTCGACCCCATCTTTGGCTGCCCGACTCAAAGGATATTTTTTGCTGCTGTTGCTGTTGCTTCTTCTTTCTCATTTGGCATTGCTGCGCTTGTGCGCCCCCAGGAGATGCTTAGCCTCGCATAGCAGCATCCTCGTCATCATCAACTCGGATCGTCATAGCCAACGTCTGTTACAGTGCGGCAATTACGCCGTTTGGATTTCAAGTGCTGACTGCCACAAGTTGCCGTTGCCGTTGCCGTTGGTGTTACAGTTACCGTTACCATTGCTGTTGCCGTTGCTGTTGCAGCAACTGCTCAATGTGAATGCTGGAAGCATCGCCACCCAGACCCAAGTCCAAGGCTCGAGCCATAGTTGCTGCCTGCGGCAGTCGAGTATAACAGAATTTTGCACTGAACCCTAAACGGGGAGTGTGCAGCACACACACAAACACACACACACACGTATATAGAGAAAAAGAGAGTGCAAAAAGGCGCATTTTACAAGATTTTTATTTTATATATACACACAAATATATATATGTATATATAAATGGGAAAAGTATTAAAAAAGTAAACTTTTTTATAGACTTTTCATTTGGCCTTCGCTCTCGCGCCCGTTTTTCCTGCCCCAGCCGCAGCTCGATGGCTATGGCAGCTGTGTAAGCTTTTCGTCTGGGCGTTATGATGCGTGTTAAGGGAATACGTATAC